TGACAACCACATAGAGGTACACAGCCTTGGAGAGCTAAACTCCTGAACGTGGCGACGAGCAACTTTCTGACTCGACACGTCAAAGGACCCACAAGAATGAGAGACAATGACGAACCAGCGAGATTTGATCTAATATTCACTCAGACATAAAGGAAGTCAAATTAGATGCCCACGCCTATAGGAATGAGCTACCAGAGTGTACTGACATTTGAGCATCAGGTATAAGTAGGAATAACTCACCCAAGAAAGAGACCAGAAAACAAAGGGTTGGCATACTGAAGTGGAAACTATGATGATATGAGAAAATTCCGAAAAGGAATTCCACTGGAAACAGAACTCAGAGAAAAGACTGAACAAGACATGATGGATTACATCACCCAGAAGTGTCAGGCATCAGCATGAAGCTTTATCTCGGCCCAAAAGGTAAACAAAAAGGGGAAGGGGGAAGCAAAAGGGGAATCCGTTGTTAATACAGGAACTACAGGAATAACAGAACACCAGAGAGCAGAGGTAGATACCAAAAAGCAGAAAAACAGAATGAAAATAGCAGAGCAAGAAAAGGCAAGACCCAATCAAAACTAAACAGGAGGACGGGTTGTACAGGGAGCACGAGGAGCAGGGAGGAGCAGTTGTACAGGGAGCACACACGATACCAATTCTGAGACTAAACCCTACAAGAATGAGGTAGAAAACTGTAGGGGGGATTAATATCACACTGAACCCTGTCCTCTGACGCCCACACCAACGACTGATGCTAGGTGAACCAACTCAAGAACTACCTATACAAACTGGTGTAAGAAATCAGTGTATTCCCCACATGTCAGACCAATCATAGAGAGCGTAGCTTCAGCGTGGAGTCCATAGCTAGTCAAACCCCAAGACAAAGTTAGAATAAGTTCAGAGGAATGACAAGAGGTCTGTCGCAGGGAGCCGCACGTGTGGTGAGAGGTTGGGGGCAGTCTACTGCAAATTGCAAGCAAGCGCTGGGACGGTTTGCGTGACAAATGTGGAGCGGTGTGCGGGTCTGGTGCAGAGTGCGAGGTGGGATGCGGTTAGGTGGAGGGCTGGGTCCAGGGCGGGAAGGTCCGGGCCAAGGGGAGGTGCGGGGAGGTGCGGGCCGGGCAGGGGTGAGGGGGGGGGGCAGGCAGGTACAGTGCGGTGCGGGCTGGCGTCGGCGACAAGAGGGAGCACCAGGAGGGCCGGGCCGGGCCACGCTACGGGCCCTGGGAAAGTCTGCTACCATGAAGGTCAGATGCGCCCACACCCGCCCACTCACGCACGCGCATGTGCACACACCACCACAACCGCACACACGCGCCCACACACACACACACATACGCACCCCCCCCCCCACACACACTACTCATCACAAATGCAAATCTGACACACACACACACAATTACATAATAATGGGTAAAAATCATTCTTATGTTTCAATGAGAAGTCTTTAGAGTTTCGGCCTGAAAACCACCAAGATAGAGCCACAGTATCACCACCACAGAGCCCCACCACCACAGAGCCCCACCAACACAGAGCCCCACCAACACACAGCCACAGAGCAGCAGACAGCCCCCCCCCCTCCCCCGAACACTCGTTCTGCGCGGCCGTACAAGGTCTCAAAACATGCAGAACTAACAAAGTCCAATTTATAGCTGGCCACCTCAGCGAGGCAAATGTAGTGTTTGCAGCCTTCACGGACACTCACACAAAGGACCACTATGACAGTGAAATGCGGACACCAGAGCACAGTCTAATCAGGTGTGACTGAAACACCAGGTTACAGAGCAGGGTCGGCCAGCTCTTCTGGACTTAAGTTGTTCAGGGTCACAATTTATATTCTCCAAGTGCAAAAAGTTACAATTGTAAACTTTGTATACAAATCACCAGGATCAAATCCGTAGCATTTGTACTGATATCAAATTTAAAAATTCAAATGTTTATTCAGGTAAAGTACATACATACAAGATGTGATACAAACATTGATGGATTTATAGATTTTTATGATACATATATACAAGAGTTCTTACATGTTTTTAAAGCCACTAACACGCATAGTGTTTCGGGCAGGACCTTAATCCTAATTTTCCCCGGAATACGACCCACCAAATTGTTTAACAACCAGGTACCCATTCACTGCTGGGTGAACAGAGGCGTACAATTAAGGATTAGCGCCTAGTCAATCCTCCCCGGCCAGGATACGAACTCAGGCCAAATCGCTCGCGAAACGCCGGGCGAATGTGTTATCACTACGCCACGGGGACTGCAGCTGAAGACAACAAAATAATGCTTGGAAAACCTTACAAGTCGAACTGTAAACATATTCGGCATTTTGTAAGACAACTGAGAAGGAAGACTGTAGCAACACTAATAACAGCATCCCGGGAAGCGGTATAAATGAACTGTTATATAACGATTGTTCAATAAACCCTTGGTTGATACCTGGTTGATACCTGGTTGATACCTGGTTGATGGGGTTCTGGGAGTTCTTCTACTCCCCAAGCCCGGCCCGAGGCCAGGCTTGACTTGTGAGAGTTTGGTCCACCAGGCTGTTGTTTGGAGCGGCCCGCAGGCCAGGCTTGACTTGTGAGAGTTTGGTCCACCAGGCTGTTGCTTGGAGCGGCCCGCAGGCCCACATACCCACCACAGAACTATACGTTTAACACATCTCTAACACTGTCCATGGAGGACAGAAGAAAATGTATATATGCTGGTTAGCAATGTAAATGTGTGGCCACGTCTGTGGTAGAAAATAATAATAATAATAATAATTATAAAAATCCTCTTAAGACTGTGACAAATTCACCCTAACCCATTCACCCTAAAATGGAAGAACCAGCCAGAAAATAGTCAAGAGACGTTTTGTTGAAACAGTGAACCGATATGAAGCTCAACGACTTCAACTACCTCTTAAATAGATCACAACCGAATAAAAGTTCAGACGAGCATTTATCACACCTGCATAACCCATAACAAACCCTCGAGTTAGAAAATTTCGAACATAAATAATTGATTATAAAACGTATTAAGTGGGAATAAATCAATTAATATTTCACGGAATTAAGCTGGGTAGTACACAAACTAGGCCAGTGCCTAGAGAGAAGAATCACAGTGGCATTAGACATGTGCTTAACATGCCTTGAGGTTACCTTGAAGTGCTTCCGGGGCTTAGCGTTCCCGCGGCCCGGTCGTCGACCAGGCCTCCTGGTTGCTGGACTGATCAACCAGGCTGTTGGATGCGGCTGCTCGCAGCCTGACGTATGAGTCACAGCCTGGTTGATCAGGTATGATGAAAGAAGAGATAAAGATGGAAACGGAACAAGAACGCCACTCCCGTAACAGACGAAGGAAGTAACCGTTGAATTACTCAGACGCCTCACACTCTCTAGCATGAAGGATATATGGCTGCGAGAGCAGACAACTCTGGAACCCATACACAGGTAGTCACAGGTAACGAGCAGCACGAGGCTCTCGGAATCCGTCACTGATTCTCAGTTACATGAAAGTTGGGAGTCAAGGTCTTGGGGACAGAAAGCTACGAAACTGGAGACATTGAGGGAATACGTGATGCTAGAATGAGTAACCTGAATGTGGAGAGTGCAGCTGTGCTGTTAAACCTTGCACCTCAGCTGTCCTTGTCTTCACAACTCTCCTGTGTTGGGATATATATATATATATATATATATATATATATATATATATATATATATATATATATATATATATATGTCGTACCTAGTAGCCAGAATGCACTTCTCAGCCTACTATGCAAGGCTCAATTTGCCTAATTAGCCAAGTTTTCCTGAATTAATATATTTTCTCTAATTTTTATGTCATGAAATGATAAAGCTACCCATTTCATTATGTATGAGATCAATTTTTTTTTATTGGAGTTAACATTAACGTAGATATATGACCAAACCTAACCAACCCTACCTAACCTAACCTAACCTATCTTTATAGGCTAGGTTAGGTTACGTAGCCGAAAAAGTTAGGTTAGGTTAGGTAGGTTAGGTAGTCGAAAAACAATTAATTCATGAAAACTTGGCTTATTAGGCAAAATGGGCCTTGCATAGTAGGCTGAGAAGTGCGTTCTAGCTACTAGGTACGACATATATATATATATATATATATATATATATATATATATATATATATATATATATATATATATATATATAATCTACCTTGTCGGTTTTCATAGCTTTTAGAGAAGACATGTTCCTACAGGCAGTACGACAGTACTCGCAAATCAAAGAGTCCCAAAATGGGAATCGAACTCGCGTCTGAGCGATTCCAACCGTACCATCAACACTACCAAACATCATGGGCAAGGGTCATATTACACGACTTGAGTGAGAGAAGTGATGATTAGCTGTTGCAGGGCAGATTTAGAGTGAGTGTTCCTCACTCACTTCATCTAGACTGATGAAGTCAACCTTTGCTCACTGACCTCAGGGTCAGGGCATGGTTGAGCTGGTATAGCAGCCCCGTACTCCTGAGTTGTCACGTCATTAAATATGAAGGTCAGTAGTTCGACCTTTGGGAGTGACCTCGATACAAGCCTAAAATATATATATATATATATATATATATATATATATATATATATATATATATATATATATATATATATATACATACATACACACACACACACGCAGCCTTCCTATTCCAGACACATGAACTTATATACCACCATGGCGCTTTATATATATATATATATATATATATATATATATATATATATATATATATATATATCCCGTTGGTAGAGGTTGTGCTTACTCTTGTTCTAGAGTGATGAAGGGAGGGACGTAAGGTCTAAGCGTGAAAGAATCAACTAACATCTCCACTACCAGCACAGTCCGCAGGCAAATGTCCAGAACCATTGTTATGGTTACCTGAGCGGCCCCGCTGGAGGCGTCACTCCACACCCACACCACGCCCAACACCTCCCTCGTGCACTCAACACTCCACACCCTCACCACGCCCGATACCAGCCTCGTGCACTCAACACTCCACACCCTCACCACGCCCGATACCAGCCTCGTGCACTCAACACTCCACACCCTCACCACGCCCGATACCAGCCTCGTGCACTCAACACTCCACACCCTCACCACGCCCGATACCAGCCTCGTGCACTCAACACTCCACACCCTCACCACGCCCGATACCAGCCTCGTGCACTCAACACTCCACACCCTCACCACGCCCGATACCAGCCTCGTGCACTCAACACTCCACACCCTCACCACGCCCGATACCAGCCTCGTGCACTCAACACTCCACACCCTCACCACGCCCGATACCAGCCTCGTGCACTCAACACTCCACACCCTCACCACGCCCGATACCAGCCTCGTGCACTCAACACTCCACACCCTCACCACGCCCGATACCAGCCTCGTGCACTCAACACTCCACACCCTCACCACGCCCGATACCAGCCTCGTGCACTCAACACTCCACACCCTCACCACGCCCGATACCAGCCTCGTGCACTCAACACTCCACACCCTCACCACGCCCGATACCAGCCTCGTGCACTCAACACTCCACACCCTCACCACGCCCAACACCAGCCTCGTGCACTCAACACTCCACACCCTCACCACGCCCGACACCTCCCTCGTGCACTCAACACTCCACACCCTCACCACGCCCAACACCAGCCTCGTGCACTCAACACTCCACACCCTCACCACGCCCAACACCACCCTCGTGCACTCAACACTCCACACCCTCACCACGCCCAACACCTCCCTCGTGCACTCAACACTCCACACCCTCACCACGCCCAACACCTCCCTCGTGCACTCAACACTCCACATCCTCACCACGCCCGACACCACCCTCGTGCACTCAACACTCCACACCCTCACCACGCCCAACACCACCCTCGTGCACTCAAAACTCCATATACGAGTCTATATGCATTGCTATATTAATGTTCCCCTTGGTCTGAGACTCACCATCAATAATCAACGCTCCACACACGAGTCTATATACATTGCTTGATACCTGGTTGATGGGGTTCTGGAAGTTCCTTTACTCCCTTTACTTTATTGCTTGAAGGCTTGTGAGTCAAGCCTTCCTGACTCACAAGTCAGGCCAGGCTTGACTTGTGAGACCTTGGTCCACCAGGCTGTTGCTTGGAGCGGCCCGCAGCAGGCCCACATACCCACCACAGCCCGGTTGGTCCGGCACTCCTTGGAGGAAACCATCTAGTTTCCTCTTGAAGATGTCCACGGTTGTTCCGGCAACATTTCTTATACTATATTAATGTTATATTAATGTTCCCCCTTAGTCTGAGACGCAGGATCAATGATCAACACGAACCAGTCACTGAGGATCAAAATAAAAAGTAAAACAGAAGAAAAAAATCACCGGATGTGTAAATCATGAATTCTGGATATGTAGACCTGGCCACCCCGTCCCTTCTATCCTCCTTGCGACCGGGAAGGAAAAAGAGGGCTGGAAAGGATGTGGGAAGGGGGTAAGGGGAGCTTAGGGTATGGAAGAGGGGGAGGGAGGGAGGGGGGGGGGTTAAGGGTAGGGGGGGGGGGGAAAGAGGACATCCTCGACAGGTGTTGCTCTGCTCACTCCCGTCCCTCAGGAAATGAAGCTGGCCACGCATTGTTACTATATTAATATCACATGATGTCCACCACAGCACCTGGTGCAGCCGCGGACACGCGCACTGCTGACCGGGGCGGGTGACCGGGGCGGGTGACCGGGGCGGGGTGACCGGGGCGGGGTGACCGGGGCGGGGTGACCGGGGCGGGGTGACCGGGGCGGGTGACCGGGGCGGGGTGACCGGGGCGGGTGACCGGGGCGGGGTGACCGGGGCGGGGTGACCGGGGCGGGGTGACCGGGGCGGGGTGACCGGGGCGGGGTGACCGGGGCGGGGTGACCGGGGCGGGTGACCGGGGCGGGGTGACCGGGGCGGGTGACCGGGGCGGGGTGGCCGGGGCGGGGTGACCGGGGCGGGGTGACCGGGGCGGGTGACCGGGGCGGGGTGACCGGGGCGGGGTGACCGGGGCGGGGTGGCCGGGGCGGGGTGACCGGGGCGGGTGACCGGGGCGGGTGACCGGGGCGGGGTGACCGGGGCGGGGTGACCGGGGCGGGGTGGCCGGGGCGGGGTGACCGGGGCGGGGTGACCGGGGCGGGGTGACCGGGGCGGGTGACCGGGGCGGGTGACCGGGGCGGGTGACCGGGGCGGGGTGGCCGGGGCGGGGTGACCGGGGCGGGTGACCGGGGCGGGTGACCGGGGCGGGGTGACCGGGACGGGGTGACCGGGGTGGGTGACCGGGGCGGGGTGACCGGGGCGGGTGACCGGGGTGGGTGACCGGGGCGGGGTGGCCGGGGCGGGGTGACCGGGGCGGGTGACCGGGGCGGGGTGACCGGGGCGGGTGACCGGGGTGGGTGACCGGGGCGGGTGACCGGGGCGGGTGACCGGGGCGGGGTGACCGGGGCGGGGTGACCGGGGCGGGTGACCGGGGCGGGTGACCGGGGCGGGGTGACCGGGGTGGGTGACCGGGGCGGGTGACCGGGGCTGCTAGATGTCGGGACCCGTGGGTCTCGATAGTGTTTAGGACTGTCCAGGGGTCGGGAGCTCAGCTGGACAGTGACCAGGACCTGCTTAGCGGGCGGGAATGAGGGTGTGGACCTGGCGCCAGATTCACGAAACAGTTACGCAAGCACTTACGAACGTGTACATCTTTCCTCAATCTTTGACGGCTTTGGTTACATTTATTAAACAGTTTAAAAGCATGAAAACTTCCCAATCAACTGTTGTTATTGTTATAAACAGCCTCCTGGTGGTTCGGAGCTCATTAACTGTTTAATAATTGTAAACAAAGCCGCCAAAGATTGAGGAAAATATGTACAGGTTCGTAAGTGTTTACGCAACTGCTTAGTGAATCTGGCCCCAGGTCCAGAACTGTCAGCGGTCGGGACTAGGGTGTGGACAGTAGCCGACGGACGGGCGGGGTTCGGCCTGGACAGAGTGGAGGGTCATAAAGGATTACCACCATTTCTAGAACAATGTGTCCTGTGAGTGTATTGGAACGTCACAGGTCCCGGACAGGTTTCTCACGCAGTGTGAGGAGAGGTCAGTGTTGTGAACACTTCTGGAGTGTGTACAGGACTGGGAGAGGGATGGGGGGGGGGGGTTTGTTTACCAACACCCTTGGAATTGTGAGTAGTGTTCGTGGGGGGGGGGGGGAGGTTCAACAACTTACTTGAGATACAGGTCGGCATTCGAACCCCGACCATTCAAGTGGTTGGGCACCATTCCTCTCCCTCTTCACACCCCCCCTCCCCCCGTCCCATCCCAAATCCTTATTCTGATCCCTTCCCAATGCTATATAGTTGTAATGGCTTGGCGCTTTACCCCTGATAGTTCCTTCCTTCCTTCCTTGGAACTACTTGTGTAAAGGAGGAAATGTATGTGTTTATTTCTCAGAATGTTCGGTAATACGTTTATTGTTTGTGATGTGTGTCTATGTATGTATTAACACGATGTGTTGAACGGGGTGAGAATAGCCTGAGCTACCTCATCCCTTTGTGTGTATTTTACCTCAATAAACTTATTTTAATTTCCTTGGAACAAAGTGTGGTAGTGTCGGGGTCACCACAGTGGCGAACAAGTGTCACAAAGAGATGATTTACAGACAGGTACTTTTGAGTCCCACTGACATCAGATCTATGTTGTGTGAATTGTGTGTTTTGAGTCGGTTTAATCTGGGATTGTCCCAGAATGTGTTGATGAAGAATGCTGATGGTGTGTGTGTGTGTCTCCCCAGCCGGGGAGCACGCTTGACTTGTGATCCTGTGGTCCTGGGTTCGATCCCAGGCGCCGGCGAGAAACAATGGGCAGAGTTTCTTTCACCCTACGCCCCTGTTACCTAGCAGTAAAATAGGTACCTGGGTGTTAGTCAGCTGTCACGGGCTGCTTCCTGGGGGTGGAGGCCTGATCGAAGACCGGGCCGCGGGGACACTAAAAAGCCCCGAAATCATCTCAATATAAGCTAACCTCAAGATAACCTTATATTTATGACCTGACCTTATGACCTTTTATGAAAAAGCCCCGAAATCATCTCAAGATAACCTAACCTCATATTAACGACCTCATGGTATGACTAGTATATATATATCAGTACTACTTCAAATTGTTCACCCTTCACCCTAATATAGTGACATGAATGGTGACAATATCCGTCTCGCTCTAACTACACTTTGCGCTCCCAATATATATATCACCCTTTATATTGTAAACCAAATGTTACCCCATTTTGTGCCAACAATGTTAGTCTGATTGTACACTGATGTTTGCTTGTTTAGTCCAGCCATCATTGTAACGATTCGTATCAGTTGTGACGAATCATCTCGTCCTCGTAAGCTTTCCCAACGTCAAGAAAGCGGTCAATTTAAAGTGCCCTTATTCTAAAGTGCCAATTTAAAGTCAATTTAAAGTGCCCTTATTCTAAAGTGCCAATTTAAAGTCAGTTTAAAGTGCCCTTATTCTAAAGTGCCAATTTAAAGTCAGTTTAAAGTGCCCTTATTCTAAAGTGCGAATTTAAAGTCAATTTAAAGTGCCAATTTAAAGTCAGTTTAAAGTGCCCTTATTCTAAAGTGCCAATTTAAAGTCAATTTAAAGTGCCCTTATTCTAACCTACCAGAGGACCCAAAACAGAAAACGGGCCAGTACGTCACTTTCGCCAGCCGCTTCCATTTTCTAACGCGACAATTTTTGGCTTAATGTAACGCATACGAGCGAAAAGCGACGTTCTTTGTAGGGGGGAACGTTGGAGGAAGAACGTTTCCGATTCTGAAGAACTGGAAGCTTTCTGAGGGGAACACACGGTTGCTATTCTCTTAATTTGTCAGTCCGGCCAAAACCCGTCCTCCTAACCCAACCAGACACGAGCGAACCCAAGCAACCCACCTCACGTATCGCGCCAATGCAAAGAAAACGTGGATATTTGCCCAACCGTTACTTTTCATATTCATGTGACACATTGGTTACCACATCGTACAAAACGCCGCCTGTTAGTTGACATGAGGGATGACATATGATAGTTGGAGGACAGGTAGGCATGGTAGAGGTAGTGGGAGGGGGAGGCATGGGAGAGGTGGTGGGAGGGGGAGGCATGGGAGAGGTGGTGGGAGGGGGCGGCGGGGCGGACAAAGCCATCAGGTGACACCTCAGGTAATGGGTTGCATGGGCTCCCTCCCACCCCCAGCTTCCTCTCCCTCTCTCTCTCTCCCTCTTTTAATACTCCCACCTCCCTCTCTCACCCCTCTACACATATCCCACCGTTGTTCATCTCCCATGTACCCCCTTCCTCATCATCTCCCATGTACCCCCTTCCTCATCATCTCCCATGTACCCCCTTCCTCATCATCTCCCATGTACCCCCTTCCTCATCATCTCCCATGTACCCCCTTCCTCACCATCTCCCATGCACCCCCTTCCTCCCACCTACTACTACTATATTAAACCCATCTCCCACGCATCCTTACCCACCACTTCCCTAAAAAAAAAGTCACCTTTTTTTAAAAAAGTCTTTGACCTAAAAAGTCACCCTTCCCAATATCCACCCACACACACACACAATCCACCCTCTCTTCACCCTCAAAAACAAATACCAGTCCACCTTCCACCCACAATCACCCTTCCCACCCCCCTACCCCCCCTTGGCCGCCGCCGCCCATCT